CGATACCTGACCCGATCCCTGTCCCTGACCCGATACCCTACCCGATACCTGACCCTGACCGGATACTTGACCCGATACCTGACCCGATACCTGACCCGTTACCTGACCCGTTACCTGACCCGATACCTGACCCGTTACCTGACCCGATACCCGACCCGATACCTGACCCGATACCCGACCCGATACCTGACCCGTTACCGGTCCTGCTGTCCACAGGGGGAGCAGAACATCAAGCCTCAGTACTTCACCTTCCGCTGGCTCACCCTGCTGCTGTCCCAGGAGTTTCTGCTGCCGGACGTCATCCGGATCTGGGACTCCCTGTTCTCCGACCGGGACCGCTTCCACTTCCTGCTGCTGGTCTGCTGCGCCATGCTCATGTGAGGCTCCAGGTTCTGGTCCAGGTTCTGGTCCCGACCCGTTACTGTAGCTGAACCCTGACCCGTGTCTCTGTCCTCCTGTCCAGACTGATCCGGGACAGCTTACTGTCCGGAGACTTCACCACCAACATGAGGCTGCTGCAGGTAGATCCACTGCTGGTCAACCATTAACACCAGTTAAAGCTTCAAAGGGCAGAAAAAACAGGAACAAACAGACAGACGTCACATGTGGGGTTCCCCAAGGATCAGTCCTGGGAAACCTCCTGTTCAATATCTATATGATCCCAGTAGCTCAGGTTATACAGGAAATAAGATTAGTCACCAGGTGACCTTTGACCCCATCCAATCACCGATCAGATCCTGAGAACAAATAAATATGTGGATGAGCCAAAACTTTCTGAACAGAAACTGAAGTTATTCAGGAGAAACAATCTAGAGTTGTAGATCTAGAGTCAGAACAGCTTCAGTTCATCCAACTGGAAACCAGAGATCAGGCTGACCCCTGACCTCTGACCTGAACATTGAGCCACATAAAGACAGTTTTAAAGTCGGCCTTCTATCAGCTGGAAAACATTTCCAAGATTAAAGACCGGCGTTGTCATAGCAACCTTCCAGACCTCTCAGGTCTTCTGGTTCTGGTTCTGTAACCAGAACCAAACCTGGAGAAGCAGCATTCAGCTTCTATGCACCACAAATCTGGAAACCCTGAGTTCCTTTAAGTCTAAAACCTGGTTAGTTGATTTGATTAATAACTGGAACTTTGTTCAGCATTTTGAAGATTATTATTCTTATTATTTTGATGATACTTGACAACATATAATCAAAGTATTTAGTTTAATAATTGGTTATTACATCATAAATGACTTTGAATCGCCTCGGTGCTGAAATGTTGCAAACACCAACAAGTTCAGAACCAGGTTGGGTTTTTTCTGATCAGGATAAATTGTTTTAAGAGTTAAAACTATTTACTTTAATGAAATGTTCCATCTGATAATTAAACGCCACAAACTGCTTTATTTGTTGAACTCAAATCTTAAAGTTCATTCCAGAACCAGTTCAGTTAAAAGATCCTTATTCATCCAAAATGTGAATTAAATGTTAAAATCTGATGTTTTCCTAAAGGTTTTTGTTTGTGTTGATTTCAAACTTTAAAATCAAACATCATCTCAGTGAAGTTTGGCTTCAGAAATGAAGCAGAAGTCAAATAAAAAGCAGATTTTCTTTGGATCAGATTCTCTTTCTCCTCCTGGTTCATTTACTGAAGCTTCTCTTTCCTTCCTCAGGATTATCCCATCTCAGACGTCCACCTCATCCTGACCAAGGCCAAAGAGCTGCAGGAGAACCGCTAACCTGGACGGAGGTCGGAGGTCAGACTGAGAGCCGGGTCAAAGGTCAAACCATCCGTCATGGCAGCAAACTCACAAACTGATAGGAAATATCGTTTTATCGATCATCTGGAGGAGGAGCAGCCAAATGATCCGGTTGCCATGACGACGTCTGGAGGAGAGTCCAGCGGACCATCTGAGGCGTCGCTTCGTTTTTATAGAAACTTTTGGGCCTTTATGGAGCAGGAAGTGACAACATCCACTTCCTGTCAGGGTTTAACTCTCTACAGGAGAGCATCCGGTTCAGATTCAGTAGAACCAGTTCTTCAGCTCAACAGAACCTCCAGGATTTCTGGTCAGAGACTTTCTGAAGGTCCAGAACCAGCAGCAGGTACCAGATACTCAGAACCAGGGTTTGGACTTCACTATGAGACCAGACGGACCGCCTTGCTGCGCGTTTCCCACCTTAGACCCGTGGTTCTGGGTCCAGTTCTGGTCCGGTTCTGGGTCTGGTTCTTGGTTCCGGGTGCAGACTAACACCTGGTGAAGCACAGTTCTGTCTGGTATGGATCTTCTCCAGAGCCTTACAGTTTTTCTCCTGGTGCTCAGAGAGCAGATTTCAGTTCAAACCCAAGTAAACAGGAAACAGGTCAGTATTGTGCAAAAGGTTTAAACCACCCACTTCCTGTGATCCAGACGTTCCTGAAATCTTTTAGTGGTTTGAATCGACGGTTCTCCAGACTTCCTGAAGGTCTCAGTCCAGATTTTAGACCTAGAAGAATCCAGTGTAGTTTGGTGACTGACAGGTGCTGCAAATACCAAAAACCTGAATCCAAACCAAAACAGCTGCAGTCACAGGAAACAGCAGGCTGTTGCCTTCCACTCGATTCTCAACTCTCTTCACTGGTCAGTCTGGGATTCCTCCCATTGACTTGGATTTCTCCAGAAAAATTTCAGGCCAATCAGCAAACAGAAGAAGTTCTGAACGATGACGTTGATTTTCTGATCTGCTTTAGAGTCATAGTCTGTCTGTAGTTCCAGCGACAGCAGCAGAGGAAGTGAAGGAAGCCGGTCAGTTCATGGTCACTGTTCCAGATATTGAATTATTAACATCCTCGTTCAGATCGGCTCTTCACAGTGGAGGATGGTTGTTTACAGCGCATTTCTGGTAAACTTCATGTCGTTGAGCTGGTGCATTACAGACGTCACAGCCAAACGATAGTGATTTGGTAAAATTTTAAATGTCAACAGAGGAAACAGGAAGTGATCGGTTCTAAAGAGTCCAGAGCCTCTGGAGGAAGCAAAGCATAGAAACAAAAGCTGGTTTTTACCAGGCTAAGGAAATGAAGCAAAATGGAAAAACCTGCAAATAGTAATGATAAAATGCTGCAAATTCACTGCAAGAAACAGAAGTCCTCCAGACCACTAGGGGGAGTCGACCAGAAGAAAGTTGGAGAAGGAAAGAAAGGGTGTGTTTCACTTCACGAGTTTTCAGAGTATATTACATTACTACATAACTACAGCATGTTAACATGGTTATGTTACCAACTCTAGACTCCCCCTGCTGGTCAGGAGGACTTCTGTTTGCAGCTTTTGTTTTTACTGTTTCCCTTTTGTTCCCATTTCCTGTGGGAGTAAGATGTTTGTTGATTTGCAGGCTTTTTCTGTTGCATTTCATTTTTGTGTTTTTGAGTTTGCATCATTTGTTAATTTGTTAGCATCATGAGGTCACATCTAGAATCTCCTTCAGTCCAGATCAAGACTTTCTGTTGAAGTAAACTCTGATCTCTGATGTCTGCCGCATGTTGAGTCGGTTTTACCTGAACAGATCATTATGGTGCTAACTACCGTTAGCCATGCTAGCTGCTACCATTAGCCATGCTAGCTGCTAACAGGGAGTTTCTGTGGATTTAAACAGTAAAGAATCGTTTTAATCATGTTTGCTCATTGGGCCGAAGCTGCACTGCCGTCACGCTTTGAGTTTAGATGATTTGAGTCGGAGTTAAAAACTTTTCTCTGGAAATGAGTGAAAAAGCGTAAAAACTGGAGAATTTGTTGATCCAAACCACTTTGAATGATTTACAGGATTAATCTGGATGTTATGAGGAAATGAGGGTTTGGTTTTAGATTAAAAATAAAACCTAAAACTCTGCTGTTGATCATCTCATTAAAAACTGAGTGTTTATAAATGTTTCTTTAAAATCCAGGATATAAATCTGATTTTTCTCCCTCCTAAACAAAAATGAAGCAACAAAACCTTTTTTTTTTGCCAAATGAACCAAAAGTGATTTTATTTTACAAACCATGAAGTCAGTGTTTGTTTTTGTTATAAACCACCACAGTGAAGGTTTTCCTGCTTCTATGACACTAAATGCATCACCAGATTTCCTGATTTGTCTTTAAGCTCTTTACCTACGATGCATCATAACGGCGTCTTACAGGAACGTTTTAGAGCCCAACTGTACAAAGTTCTGGGTATTTTCCAGGTTCTGCTGCAAACAGTTTCTCTGAAACACCTGCAGGATCCTGTGGATGTCAGTGCAATCTAAAACTGAGCCACTAGATGGCTCCAGTTAGGCAGACCGTATAAACTCTACCATCTGGACCTGGTTTGGTTTATGACGCTCATGAAGAACGACGGCGTCCCGACCGAACCGGATCAGGATGAAACCTGATTAATCATGTTGAGAAAAACTCTTAGTTTATATCCAATGAACATCTGATGTTATTGGAGCCTTTTGGATCAGAACAAATGAAGTTTACTGACATGGAAACCAGAATCGGTTCTGGTCCAGCTTTGACCCAAACACCAGGGACTCAGAATCTGCTGCTGGTTTTTGGGAGAAATTTGAAGCTCTTGACATTTTTCCCTCCTGATGTTCAAACCTTTCAGGAAAAGTTTCGTTGAGTTTAAATCACCAACGGTTACCAAGCTCCACATTCAGACCAAAACGAACTGAAGGTATTTCTAATGTGCACAAAGGTTTTTACTCTGAGGGATTGTTACCAACGACGCCCTCATCAGTTAATGTGTATTTATTTCTCCTGATGCTTTTCTGTTGAATAAAACTTGTCTTTTTGTTATTTGCATGATTTTACATTTTGTAAACCCAAATGACATTTTTTGTAATATCCTCCAGTGTTTAAAATAATTGTATATAAATTGTTTTTACATGTTTGCATATGTGGATTAAAATAAACAATGACAGAAATGTTTGAGTAATTAAATTATTAGGGTCACTTTGGCTGTGTGGGTAATCGTCCTGCGATTGGAAGGCTGTAGGTTCGATTCCAGCTTCCTCCTGCCACATGTTGATGTGCCCCTGGGCACTTAACCCCAAGTTGCCTACTGACCTGAATATCAGTGTATAAATGTGTGAGCGTCTGTGAGTGGGAATGGGTGAATGTGACTCTAGTGTAAAGCGCTTTGAGTGGTCAAAATGACTGGAAAAGCGCTTAATAAGTTCAGTGCATTTATTCCTTTAAAATGATTTTTTTAACATGTAAAGGGTTAATAGAGCTGAGGCGGAAATTGAGACAGAAACTGAACTGGTTTCACTAAAACTGAATTAAAAGTCCAAACTGCTTTCAGGACGTTCACACCTGGTGGAGGAGCAGAGGAGGAAGAGTTTCCACAAACCGAAAGAGTAAAACAACTTCAACACGTTTTTACTCAAGTAAAAAGTATCTATCCAAGAAATTACTCAAGTAAAAGTCTACTCAAGTACTGAGTAGTATGTCAGAACAAATTTATTTTTGCGTTGAAATAATGTGCGGCCTCAGGCAACTTCATTTCTTCTGCACGACGGAGAGGTAAGCTGGAGCTGCAGGTCAGAGGTCACAGAGGCCATGTTCACACTGTGATTCACCATCTTTTATTAAATTAATTAATTATTAATTAAGCACACCTCTAGCTCATGACGGTCTGATCTCATTAAGAGATCTCACCCACCTTCATCGTAGTTTAAAATACAGGGAGGGCAAATTGGAGACCAGGTCAGACATTAACTACATTTGTTGCCAGATTGATGAAGGATTAAGGGATCAGTTCAGTGACACAGAAATTGTGAGGGCAGTCCTCAGAGTTTTCACACCTGGAAGTTTTAAGGAGATGTTAATGAAGAAGGACGACTTGACAGTAGAAGAACTTAAAGCCTTTCTGTAGCTGCTATCAGGACAACTGCATCTGGTTTATTTTGTTTGTTTTTTTGTTGTTTGGTTTAAGGTGGCAGTAGTTAGATTTTATTTAATGTAAAACATTAAGTTTAAATCTAAGGTAATTTTATTGAATTTATGTTAAATGCATATTCAAATGTGGAGGGGGAACTTTTGTTTTGTTCCGTGGACCATGTGTTGCCCAGGGAAACATTGGCTGGCGCACTTAGAGCCACATGGGGCATTCAAGCAAGTACACCCATCGACATAATGGGCTCTTTGCACCTAAGGCGTTGACGTCACATCTCCAGGAGCCAATGCGGCTCACTTTTTTCC